GACAACATACCCCTAGACAGGGTATGTTGTCACAGAGTAAGGGTATATTGTCACAGGATATATGTAGTCTAAGTTCTCCTATTTCCTAAGTTTATTTTGGTTATGTTAAATTATGCGTAATACGACATTTACTCATGCCAATTCTATAAAGAAAATAGATTACTAATTTACTTTTATTTACTCCGCGAAAGACAAGTAACTTGACATATTGTCTTCAGAGTCACAGTTGTGACAAACGTAATGTGGATTTACATCTCTACATAGCTGGTGAGACCAAACTCCCACCAAAAACCAAACAGGAGGTCTTTTCTTTCTCTTCTGATGAGTCAGTCTCAGTGACAAGTTCCCCCTTCGATTTGTGACAATTTGCCCCAAATGAACTTCCTTAACAAATCGGTTCATAGTTTCTAATTTCAAAATACAAAATTCGATTGCTCGTAATGTATATACAGGCTAAATTAAGGACCCATCTAATAAAAAATACGGTTGTTACGCACCTTTTACTAAATGCAAGTTTTCAAACGGCACAAGACATGATGCATCAAAGTTTAGGCAACTTGCTGTAAATCTTTAACCGCTAATTAACGGAAAACAATGCAACGGATATTATTCAAATTTTGTAATGACGTAGGCGAACGGTAAATGAACCCACTCCTAGATGACATGGCCACTCAGTTTTGATTATATAGGCAATATTTGCACTGTGAAAACATCTCCCTTGTGACAACTATCCCCGGTTTCCCCTACTTCTCAGGTTTCGCTAGTCTGTTGCTCTTAACAATCTTCTCACTAGACACACATCTAAGATACTGTAATCGAATGGAATTCGATTTTCTTATTTGAAGTATTTGAAGAGACAAAGGAGAAATTAAGATAAGCCCCATTCCCATTTTTCTACACCAGTATAGTTTATTTACAGTTGCGTCCAATCACTCAACAGGAGCTGTGAGGTGCAGTTTTCAACAGAAGATTTATTTGGTTAAGGCAACACGTGGGCGATCTGCCAAGGGGGATGCCTGCCAGGAGGTCTTTTATGGGAACTGGTCACTAGGTGTTACTAGTGTGAAAAAACCTGGAAAAGTCCAGGTGGCAGCCCGTTGGCGAGGCACCCACCCCCTAGCATGCGGTGGTTTTATCCACTTGGGCTATAGGTGGACCTTTCTCCAGAGAGACAAGCATGATCAGTGGTCTTTACCAGCAAAAATTTAAACGGTGCAAAGTATTGCTAGGAGACAATTGTAAAGAAGACATTTGCCAACATCTGGGGCAGAGTTTCATCATTGGATCTGTGGGGAAACCTGTCACTTTGGTTATCGATCACAATCTCCTTTAGTATCTTATTTTAACTACTTGTCATGTCAGAATCTCAAACTTCACTTGGTGGCACTGGCTCAATTTGGACATCAATATTTTACAATTCTTGATGTCCAAATTGAACACTGTAAAGGAATTAACTACTGTGATGCATGATCTCTCCTGGTTGGAAATGAAGGGTGACACCACCGTAAGTGGTGGAGAAGGAGAACATGGATCAGAAAGGTATATAACATCCCTGTGCATGTAAGGAGGAAGGCTTCAATTATATTGTCAAAATGAAAAAANTTAAAATTAATTTGGAGATAAACTGTAAATAAATGATTTCCTCTATCTTTTGTTGAAATTTGTGTTAATACGTGGTGTATTCTTGTATAATATGGTTTTTCATTAACCTGTCACACCACAATATATATATATTGTGGTGTGACGGGTATGTATCATATATATATATATGTAACATATATATATATATGATATAAGTATGTATCATATATATATATATGATACATACTTATATATTTATTTCTAAAAATAAAACATGCAACAAATTTGGCATTTACTTTATTTAGTGTGATCCTTGTGGTTGATGCAAATTAGCAAGTTATTTAATGTCCAGTTACAATGCTGTCACAACAAAGATTGCCTCTATTCACAGCATCAAGACAGTTACAAGATTTTGAGAGCAGATGAATAATCTAACTAAATCCAGATTTAACAAGCTAAGATGTGGGAAATGCAATAATATATAATTAGCTCTCTTCCAAAGCTGTAGAAATTTACTTGCTATATCATTACTAATTCATAAATTTTCTTTATATCTACCTTGAGTGCTTGTATCACTTTGTAGCTCTATGAGATTTTCTTTCAATTCAATTTCAACATCAACTGTATTCACACAACATGGATCTATCACTCAATCTGAAATATTTATATATTTATAATATCAATGAACTGAACTTGCACATCCTCATAAAACTGTTTCAAATGCTCACTATACACAAAAATATCATTTTGTACTTTGGTAACAATAGTGGCCTATGACGGAAATTGTGTTAACTCACAACATCCAATATTCATTATTATTTTTGAAAAGGTGGCACTAAATTGAAGTTTCATAGTATATGCACTCTGTATATCCACATGCAATAAGCCTATATTTTAATAGTAAATAGCTTTGTGTATATGTTAAAGATTTGATATGTTTTCATTTACAAGAAACTAATGTATGTATATTGTCTGATAACAAAAAACATTTTAAATTCAAAATTTCCTTGCCAAATCTACTTTTGTATTTTATTTAAGCATATTTTAATAATTTACATATATTTCTTTCATAATTTACTTATTGAAATTTAATCGTTTTCATATAATTTTAATATTATATTCTGACTGTAGCTCCGATAGAGTTTGCTCTGGCTCCCCAAAAGTTAATTTTTGGTTTGTGGCTCCTTGAAATGTTCTGTGGCTCCAAGGGGACAACATGACCTCGGGTTGAGGAATATTGTTATAGACCATTGTCATGGAAATAATCAAATGAAGACTTCTGGTGAATGTTAAGGATGAAAATTCACTCATCACCTCTTGAAATTATCTTGATTAACAATATATAACCATGGTGGCCAACTGTAGCTTTTGAGCTGCTCTACTAGACTCCAAACCGTTGCTCCTGTATATTGGATCTCTACCCACCCCTTATTACTCAGGGATATGGGTCCAACTTTAATGTTATTCCTACATATAGAGGAATAGCATCAAAGTTGGATTCCTATCCCTAATATATATACACAATATAATTTTATATAAAATACCATTGCAATATAGGATATATCTCTCAGGTATTCCTGATACATGATATATCACTCCTATCATGACAAGGTTTGGCCACACTGAAATACAGTATAACATGAATACTCTTTTAGTGTATTTAATATCTTCTTAATGTTTGTCTTAGTATATTGCACTAAAATCTTAAATTTTCTTGTATTCAATCATTTCAAATTTTTTTTGTTTCGAATGGTTATTCAAATCTGTTAATTTGTTAACAAAAAATCTCAATAATGGTCTATAAATTAGGCCAAAATTGTTATATCTAGATATTTCTCACTATTTACAAGTGTTATTTCTTTGAATATTTTAATTTTAAAAACTTGTTCATTATCCAGAACAGACAAAACAGAAGGTTATTATCCAGATTTGAGTCTAGAACAGAATCTCAGAAATTCTTAGGTGTTTTAAACATATCTATCTTGAATAGTCTGTCCTATATCTGGTCATCCCTATTGTGAGCTTCATCAATAATGTTAATCCATAATGTACATGAAAAATAAATTTCTTTCATGTCCTTGCAGTAAGAACAATTAAAAACTATTCAATAAAATTCTTTAAATTCCTTAAAAGTTATTTATAAGATTAACAAATTTCTTCAAAAGTTTTTTTTTTATAACAATCAGTTTAAATATCTTGGTGAGTGTTTTATGTTCAATCATTTGAAAAATTTATGATTAATTTATATTAAAATAACCAAGCAAATATGAACAAAATTCTAGTAAAATAACTTTTTCCAGTTCTTATTATTTATGTACTACAGATAACATTAGAAATGAATATATAAATTTAAAATTATTAAAAATTCAACAATAATATGACAATAAAAATATGAATAATAATTTACTTTTCAGTAATGTTTATAATCTTAAATAAAATTATATGAATTTAAAATTATATTAAAACAATTTTTAAGATAAAAATCTTTATACAGATAGGATAGACATTACTTATATATAATGTATGGTTAATTACAATTTGAATTGTGATTTTTATATCATAATCTCCAGATCAATAGTTTTTCTTCTGAGATTATAAACAAACATAAAGTATACAAAATAAATAGCTTTCAAAAATACAATTGCTATTTCATTAAATATTAAGAAATAACAAAAAAACAAGTGTAAATTACTAAATTCTATTTGTTGCTGGTTTCCAGCAATGACTCAATTTTAATTTCTGATGATGACGATAACCTTTTTTGTTCACTACAATTCCTAGAACAGTCACAAGTCCCAGGCTTAAAACAGCAATTCTTTTATTGATTTCTGAAATATATTTCATTTTCAATAATTTAAAAAGAAGGGCCAGATGTCCAAAGTGATTAACATGTTAGCTTGTCAGCCTACTGTTTTGGCATTGGAGATCAAATCAAGCAAGCAACCATAGGAGATTTTGGAGGGCAGTCTTTTCTAAATATGTCAGACCCTATCCCTAACCATCTGGCTACCTACCCTCATTGTGGGCCTGATGAACTCATGATGGGTATGATTAAAAAGACCCATCATGAGTTCATCATCAATTAAAAAACATGTATATAAAAATAAGAGATTAATGAAAGGTCTGCTATTTTATGCCTAGGGTTTATGTCTGTTTTAAAAAAATTTGATGAATGAAAAGATTTAAGTTGTCATTAGAATATTAAATTACTGAAGTTAAAAATTTTTTATTAAAATAAATGAAGTTATTTACATTTTAAATGTTAATTCTGTGAAATTTAAAATAAATTATTTATTACAAGGAAATTCTATAGATATAATGATGAATTACTTATAACTAATTTCATTTTCCTGTCTTGTTGAATTATTATTTACAATTAGTATCTAAATATTAATGTATCATTTTCAAGAAACTTGACATTTTTAACATATAGTTAACAATATTATTCACATTAATGTGATCCTTGTAACAAGTGGCAATGTTTAAAATAATCATTTTCAATAATAATTAAAGATAAATAGATATATCATTTTGAAAATGGTTAAATAAATTTTCAACTCAACTCATTAATTACAACTTAACACCTCAAAAACTAATTAATCTGAGAAACTGGGAAATACATTAAATATTAAGTACTTCTAAAATAAAAATTTAAAAGAATTACATTATAAAAATTCAAATATTACTGTGAATGAATTTGCATTCTTTACTTAAAAGGTGAAAGTGAGTCCCACACATCATTTAGGAAAAGGCACAAATGCATAGAAAGTTTTTTTATTTTAATTCCCTGAAAGAAATAGTGTTTAAAATAAATAAATAATTTATATTTTATTTTATAGTATTTATGATTAATTATGGTAATTTTGATGGACTTACTTTACTCGGAAAGGACTGTCAGCATAAATCCTAATGAGAAAGGAACCAGGACAGTTGGGCTCAAATGTGGCAGGAATTATTACATAACTTCCAGGATTCATTTCAAATCTTTTAAATATTTCTCGATAATTAATATAAGGTCCAGAATTACCAACATCAGAATTTTTCACAAAAAAATAACGAGAAAGCCTTTTATGAGGAGTTTTTGTCTTTATAAACAATTGTCATTAATGTTAAATTAGATTTTTTAAAATATTAATATCAAATAATTTTAAATTTTCTTACTTTATATACTGCAAAACCAATTTGTAACATTCTACTCTTGTTATGTTTCCTGCAATATTGTCGTATTTGCATCAAAGCAATAATCATGCTAATTTTTGGACATTCTTTATACACATCTTAAATTAGTAAAAAACAAAAAAGATGTTTTAATTATAGTAATGCAATTAAAATATAACTGATGTAACATATAAATTTATTTATAAAGATTAGATTATTCTCTTCACTTTTTTTCAGAAATAAAACAAAACTCTACACCTATATTGATTAATTAGTAATGTTCTAAAACTATGCATATTCATTTTGCTACTTTCTTATATTCATTATTTAAAAGTATATGTTTTAGATATAATTATTTTTAAATTAAAGGATAATTTTGTTTTATTTTATTTTATTTGAAAATTCAAAAAAAATAATTTAAATTTATTCAATTAAAAATAATTAGTAAACATTGTATTTGCAATGGTGGATCAAATGAAAACCGGAGGAAAAAAAAATTCATATAACATTTGTGTTTTTAAGAAAAATTATAAATATTAATTTTCCTTAAAACACAGCATTTAGATGATAAGTTAAGTCTGTTTTGTTTGTTTTTCTGTTTCTTAATATTATTTTTTATCTTCCTCTCTCATTTGAGGATTTTTAATTTGAAACATCAAATTTAATATTTTTAATTTCATTTACAGAATATAATGCTGATTAAAATTCAATATAATGTTAAATAATTGTAATGAAATTTGAAAGACTACCTGAAATATTTAGAACTGTAAGTAAATATTGAGGATTAAGTGAAAATAGTTCAAGATTATTTCTTGATCCTCCAGCAGTACATCCTTGTTCCCAACATCCTTTTACAGTACAAACCTAAAAATATGAATTTTAATAAATTTAATTAATACAAAATTTAATACATGAATCCTGACTTTATAATTAGTTCAGAACATGATTAAATCATAACACACTTCTCTTGGGAGATTGTATTGAAAAATTTCAGTTGGTATTCAGACTGCTAAATTTCATGATTATGATAATTGACACATCTACTTATATAAGAAGTTGCCTCATTACTAATCAACACACTTGAAGAAAATGGTATCATCATATGTTTCATTCAGCAAATTCAACATTTTTGGAATGGTTTCCAAGATCAATTTTACACTTGAGTTTTGTAGATATGCAATTTCAAATGTTTATGAAGCACATATAGTCATTTTAGGAATACCAAGCTCCAAATAGCAACAATTGACAGGTTTCTTCAGACTATTCATACATGATTGTCTCAGATATTTCATTTTCTTATGATGTATGAGGTTGCCTGGCAATTTCTTAATTAATAAGCACACTTCCAATTTCTTTAAACTGATTAAATCATCAAATCATTGTATTGTCCATAGGTCATCTTGACTGAGTGATATTGACATTGCACTCTTATAAATAATTTAAACTCAGCATCCCATAACACACACTGTGCATTTGTTGCAAATTGCTATTATACTGATTGAGATGGTGCATGATGAGATTGCTATTACTCACATTCAGTAACCAAAAGAAAAACTCAATGTTTCTAAACAATTCAGCACAACAATCAAAGATATTGGCTGATTATACTCATAGGATGGAAAGAGTAAAAAACAAAAATCAGAGATGTTAATATAAGCTTTATGAATAATTTGTATTTATCATTTTATCATATCATCTTAAACAACATTTTGGTAAAAGAAAAACAAAATACAAATATTAAGTATAAATGGTATGACAAAATAAGTGGATTATTGATGTCCCTATATAGTCTACAATAATAGTATCTCTTACTCAGGACCAGAGTCCTGCCAATAGGTGAGGCAGAGAGGCAATTGGTTCAGGTGTCAAATTAGAAGGGATACTTAAAAGGTATTAAAAGATATAATGTATAAATTATCATACCTTACATTATAATACCAGTGAGAGGTCACTGTACTTGTATTTGTACAAGTACAGTGACCTCTCAGTTACTCAGCAACTCTCAGTTACTCAGTGAAAAATGTCTTAGTTACGAGACATTTTTCAATGGTCTTGGCAGAAGCCTACAGGAGATAATGTCTAAAATCTCTCATTTGAAAGACTCTCAGTTCTACACCCCTACAAATGTTTCAGACTTTTGTATTTTTCCCTCACTTTATCATCAAGATTGTCAATCACAAGAATACAGTGGGATCACTTTGCTGTAGGTCACACAGGTGCCAAAGAAGATAAGAAAGCAGAGAGGATTATCATACTAGACATAACATTTGTTTTTAGAAAGAAAATGGTTGCAGCTACATGTTTAGATAAAACAAGTGGTAATGTCATAACTCTTTAGCAACCATTATCATGTATGTCCAGACTATTGTTTCATTCCCCTAAGTTGTTGCCAGGTATGTATTGACTACTAACTTCGGTATGAATTTTGTGTCTTATAACTGAAAGGTCACTGTATATTGGAACTGTTCTTAGGCTTATTTCAGGCACCAAAATTATTTGGAATAGTCCTGCTCCAGATAAGCTATAGACTTTTTCGGCACAACAAGCAGACAAAGCTGTTTGCTGCCCCCTATTTTTCAAAATTGGATCAGAAAAATTTTTGTGAAATTGGCATTTCACAAAATTTTATCGAAAAAAGTATCTCCTAAAGCAGATGTTTTAGTTTTGTTCTGCTGGTAACTGGAACCCACCCTGCCTATATTAGGGATGGATTTACTTTTATATATTGCTAGAAAGCCAAATCTTTCCTAGTAAAGTAAACTTTTTGAAATAGAATATACATAATTCAATGATTTTGAAGAGTATAAAGTAGCACTTTAATGCACCTTTAACAGTGGAATTTTTAAAAAAACAGTGTGAAAATTTTGGACTTGTTATCCTCTTTATTTGATGAGGTGGCCTTAATAAATCATCTTTGGCAGGATGAAAGATGAGTGCTAGTATTGGAAGAAAGGATGAAAGGCTAATCTCTGATAAAGTAAACATGTGGGAGAGGTGGGATATGCTGATGGTGGTTGATATGAAGGAACATGTCCACACATGAGGATGGTCCATTAACTGGATTGAAAATGTTAGTGCTTTTTTTTTAAATTCCACTGATAAAGTTTCTAAAAGTACTTCAGCTAAGTGACCACAATGGCTAGTACTAGTACATTTTCATAAGTATAAAGTATTAATTTTAATTTATTAATAGAGTATTTCATGCAATTGAATTATAAAAAATTACGAAATACAGGTATACCTCGCCTTACGTCGGTAATTGGTTCCAGGAGAACGACGTAAGTCGAAAAACGACGTAAGTCGAATTTACTTGTCTCCGAATCTACTTATCACTAGGCTAAACCGTAAATTTCCATTCCNTGTCAAATTTTGCTGCCCCCTAAAACGTAATTTTGCCGCACCCTAAAAAGTGCCGCCGCCACCTACGCTACGCTACTGATGCAACCCGTTCTAAGTTTGATTTGTGTCTGAGTTTTGTTTATGTTAATTGTTGTTTATGTTATTACCTCTTTTTATCCATTATGATTATTCATTCTACCTCATAAATTTTATACCAGATGTCAAACCAACTGAATTAATTGCTGGAGGTGACTAAAGTCAGAGTTTGTCTTGCAACCTCAGTAATAATTGTTCCTTATATGGCCCTCTTGCTCGGCTTTATCGTTCACAAAATCGGAAAAAAGTAGGAAGTGTGTGGGTTTTGTTTTTCCCTTTTCGACTTGATTTTTTGATCCGATTTCTACGTCTTAAAAATTATATTCTTAAGTTATTTAATTAATTTTTTCTAATTACTTCATTTGTGTGTTTCACTCCCCCTCCAGATTCTCACATTACGTTCAAAGTCCTACTCTATTTATTTATACACTAGTGGAATAGAAACACCCTGACCCCAAATCTTAAATAATAATGGTTTCAAAAATATAAAGAGCCCAAAACAGAGTCTAAAAGAGTCGCAGTTTTCCCTTCCTAAATGCTTGTAAGGGATAAGGACAATCCCAGAGCCGGATCTAAGTTTTTCGGTGCCTAGAGCTTATTGAATAGGGCTCCTTACAAGAAAACAGTCCAATGCGGCTCTGTTTACAATAAAACAAATAATACTCTAAATTATTATATTATTAATATTAACTATTTTTTAATATGTGATAAGTGCTCATTGTTAATGAAAAAGTATTCAAACTTTATGATAATAATTCAATTTTTGTGGGCTATTGACACTTGTGAGCCCAGGGCTTAAGCCCTATTAGTCCCTATGTAGATTTGCCCTGTGCCTATAGAAAATTGAACAAATACATGGCAAATTTGTGTAGTAAAAATGATTTTGGTCATTTGTGTTAAATAAAATGTTTAATTTAATAATAAGTTGCATATTAGGGAACATTCACAAACCACTTAGCCAAATTGAATGGGGTAGGAATAGGGGATAAGTCAGTGACTACCTTTGATCATTCTATGGTGGAAGAGGGTCTGGATCAGGTCAGGTTGCCTAGTCTCTTCTTAAAAAACTTGTTTCAAATTGCAATATAGCTGATTATCTGTATAAAATGTGTTATAAACATGACAACATGTTTGTAGAGGATCAAGTATCAAGGAAACTATTAGCAAAAATAACATTAAGCAAAAAGGATTATCAGCAATAGTGACTGAAAACTGATACATCAGCACAAATCTATATCATTACACAGTTTTAATTATTTTATTTAATTCATTATTATAAAAAAATGAGTTTTAGAATTCAGGTATGTGAATGGGAAGATAAAGAGGATGATGATACTAGTGAGCTCTAACTGCCATCTGATACAGAGGATGCAGTGTTAGCTCAGTGGTAACTTCCATCTGAGGTGAAACCAATTTTGGCCACTCTTACTTCAGAATATTTGCCAATAGAAAGCACTTCTAGCAATGGCCTCTTGTCTTGTATGAACTATTTATAAACGACTTTAAAGTATATTTACAATTTACTTTGCTGTATTCAGCTTAGTATTTTTAAATAAAAATGTTAAGCTGAATACAGCAAAGTAAATTGCAAATATACTTTTTTATTAAGCTAAATACTTAATAAAAATACTTTTTTCTTCTTTTGAACCTTTCTTACTGCTCATTTTGCTGCTTGAGGTATTCAAAATCACTTGATACAACACTTCCAAATGTATGGTAAAAGCTTCAGGAAAATAATTTTATAACAGCTATAAAGATGTTAGAAAACAATTGTACAGGGTCGCCCCCTTAAAACTGGTTTGACTGAGATGATGAAATATGTAAATTTTATAGTGAATTTTGATGAATATTAGTGATGTAAATTTTGTAGATGGTATTCAAAATGAAAAATGTATGTGAACTGAAGAAAGCATTTTTCAAAACATGGCAGTTATCGATATCAGCATTTTATGTAAGGACAGTAAGAACTTGATTACACATGCACAAAGGTGCATAGATGAGAAAGACAACTTTCAGTATTTTCTGCAAGTTTCTTTGTGTTTAAATAATTTAAAATAAAGTTTCTAACAATTGTCCTTCATCTAAATTCATTTGTATCATTTCCAGTGAGTGGGACTGATTTTAATTAAGTGAGTCATACTGTCATACTGTATAAGAGATTTCCCATTACTGTGCTTAGCAACAGAATAGCTCCAAAATTTTGTAATTAAGTGCATTATAATATTTTATCACATTTTATATTTGTTAATTGTAACTGATCTTTGTATCTTTGTTTCATTATGTGTTTATGTTGTTCTGGGAAGTTGCAAAAAGTTTTTGTTATTCTTTTATCTGGTGTTTAAATTTTAAAATAAAATAAAGTATACAATGCAGTGTATAAGTTTAAAACTAAGTTTGTATAAAGTAAAAGACTTACCAGAATAATTTTTAAAATATCCTTTTCTATTTAAAATAAGCTATATTACAGTTGATATACTATTAAACTGTCTTTTGCAATTGTTGCATCACTATTGAAACCTCCTCTTTTGTAATAGTTCTCGGTTGGTTATATCAGTTTCAATTTCAAAAGTGTTATCAAATTTTTGCCTTCCAATTGCAATTTTAATTTTGAAAATAAAAAATAGATTGGAGATGACCATTTGGATGAGTAGAGTGAGTGATCTAATCTTAAGATATGTTTTTGAACAAAAAACTATTGTACAGTTGCTCATGTATCAATACATGGAAAATGAAATAGGCATTTCTTTAAATTCTCAGTTAAAATGCTGAGAGAACTATAGTCTATACTACTATATAAAGAGATAATGTATTTTTCATTTGTGATCACTAACCGTGAAAACTACTGAACCAATCGTTACCAAACTTTAACTGTAGCATCTCTATGATCCCTGGAATGTTTACTATTAATCAAACCTACAGATTTTTTATTAATTAAATAAAAATGCAACAGAGTTTTGTCTGTCTATTTCTCTCTCTCTTCACTAGATGGTGACATACGCTGTCTATAAGAAAAGTCTATTATTGAAGTTTACTATTATATTTGAAAAACTGACATTAAATTATAATTAGTTAATTAACAAAATCTTCAAGGAATTAAAAAAGTGACGTCATCACGCTAGATGGCAGTATGTGTACTTATGGGGGGTTTTCGAATCATTTCTGCAGATAATTGTACAAAATATTTGAAATAGTTACTGGTGAATATTTTTGAAATTGATAGATAAATAATGCCGAGAGTGGCAAGAGCACGAATAGGAAGAAACAGTTCATAATTGTAGATGACGTGAATCTACACTTCTACAGCAAAGACTGGAAGGGCAACAAATTCGTTCGGCTCAGAATCGAATGCGTGTAGCGAGGAATTTTTTAGGTTTCACATCAATATAACTTATTCAGAAGTTTTATGATTTTATTTTTTTATATTTTGCAATACAGTAATACCCCGACTTACGCAAACCCGGAGTTACGCGATTTTCAAATCTCGTTGATTCGTCTTTTGTTTGAGCGCCACGCAACCCTTGATTACTCACTCCCCCCACACTATTGTTCAGCTTACATGTTCGGATGTGTCGCGCGGAATCCACACATAGCTACAATTTATTTTGTGTTATTTATTTCTGTGTTTGTTATATCTACGGAGACTTGAGAGACTCTACTATGTCATCCAAACGAAGTAGAACTAATTCTTCTGCATCAAACAAGAAAAGAAAAACTTTATCTTTGGAATGTAAAGTTAACATTGGGTATGTTCGTAAAGTCGAACGAGTTAAGCGAGAATGACGTCATCGTTATTCCTATTTCGTTAGACTTTTCGAACGATTCGTTACTAACGCGTTTAACTCGTTTGACTTTACGAACGTACCCATTATTAAAGACTTCGATACAAAAATGAAAATTTGTGAATTGGCAAAGAAGTTTGATCTACCGGAATTGTCGGTCAGAACAATTATAAAAGGCAAAGAAAAAATTCTCGAAGCTGTGAAAAATGCTCAATCTTTAAATTCAAGCATCATTCGTAAACGTCACAGTATTATCGCTGAGATGGAAACAATGTTAAAATTATGGTGTAATAATCAAGTAAATGTGAAAAATTGTAAAATAATATAGGCCTAATTTGTTATACATATGTATTATCTAAGATTTTATTAAACATTTTTTTCTAAATTATTGTTTTCTTTAGTCTCCGGCCCCAATTAAAAATTATTTGTATGTATTTATATGCGAAATTATACCCCGATTTACGCGGTTACCGCTCGGTCCCACCTATTGCGTAAGTTTGGGGTATTACTGTACTCTACTGCAATACTACACATTGATCACGCAAAAATAATTAATGAACAATTAGTTCAAATTTTCTAAGTTCTATATGTATATAAGAGCAGGCAGGCCACAATGGGGATGCTAATTTTCAATATTTTCAATTCTTCTGATATCACATGAGAAGTGATTTGTCAATCATTTTTAACCAACTCTGTGACATGAGCAATGTTACCGATTTGACTTGTGTGGTGATAAAGGAAATCCTCATTAGTTCGAAATTCAAGAAATGGAATAATTGCAACTTCAAATTATCAAATTTTGAATTATCCAAGATTTATGTATTTCTGTATAATATGCTGAATGCCATGTAACTAATGTAATTTATTAATGAAATGAAATATGGCTATGTATACAAAATGTTATTTTCATTAATTAATAATAATATAAACAAACAGCAGATAAACCATATATGTCCAGTGAGAACCTTACAGGTTGCCAGATATGATTTATAAAAAGTAAAGCAAAATTCCTCAAAATGTAGCCTAAATTTTTTTAAAGTGGCCCAAAAAGTAGTAGCCTAGAGTTCTACAAATATCTCAATCTACTACTTGTAGCCCAATCTTGCAATCCCAAAAACCAGCCATATTTTATGAGGTAAGAGAAAAAAAAATAGTTCATGGGTAAGGTGACACCCAAAAATGTGTTACTACAAAAGCAAAGCCATGTTGACCAGTTTAGAGTTGTTCTTGGTCAATTGTTCTCTTATAGCATAGAGGCACTTTAATCTAAATGAATGAGTTAACATACCTATATTGCAGTTCAGACAGAATTTTCACTTCAAATTTCAAAGTAGCTATATTTTGAACTAAACAAATTCTTTAATGTGTAAATCTCTATATCTCTGGCCAGGTCAAAAGTACAGTTATGAACGGATGGGATTTCAAACTAGCCAAGTTGAAATTAATGATTAATTCCTGTACCACTCACTCATTGTCTTCTACAGATTCTCTTCCTTCACAAAAATCTGGCATATCATCAAAAAGTATTTGCTCAATTAACTGCCCCTTTCTCTAAATCTTTTTTGCCATTTTCAAAGTTTTTATGGCTAATAAACCAGCTTTAAAGCAAAATTTTATTGCAACTTGTTGCTCTTCTTTCACACATTTTTAACAAACATGTTTCATAAAACAGTAACATACTCAAGATCAGATTATACTTGACAATTCAGATTATTTGTTCACTTTGAAATGGTTATGAGTACATAGGTCAAATAGAATAATGACATTAGAATGAACATAAAAAACATCAGTCTCAGAACTTATAGACTGTGTATTTTGGGAGTTTGGGATCACTTGTCTGGTCACAAAGAGTCCAGAACACTGGAGGAGGTCAAAATTTGCAAAATATTGGATGGATCAAGTGGTTTGTTAATGTTTCCTTAAATTGTAAAAAAAAAAAGTTATTCTCATGGCATTCTTACATATCCAGTTTTATTAACTGTTCCGTCTTGATTAAAATCAGGTCCAATAGTACATACAGTTACTTCTTCAAATTCATTACAGAAATCATCATAATTCATCCAAAATTCTCCATCAGCTCTTTTCTTCCATTGCAAGTGATGTTTAGTTGAAATGCTGACTTCAGACCAAATAAGATCACTAAAACAAACAACCTATATATTTATATTTTCAAAATACAGTAGAGCATCGATTATCCGACTCAATTGGGGACTCAGGTTGGTCGGATAACTGAAAAAATTGAATAATCGAAAAAAATGAAAAAAATACATTATTAATATAGTATATTAGTATATCCCATGTAATTAGTATATTAGTATATCGCTATTAACCAACTTTGTGTTGAATTTTCATCGATGTTAAGCCTAACAAAAATTTTTTTTTTAATAATAATCATTGCCATTGTATCGTTAAAAATTATTTTATTACTCTGTGGAATCTGCAAATATCTGAGGTATGATATCCGCAGAGGTGAATAAAAAATGATTGCCACAAAAAGGAGGAGACCAGTACGATATATTATTTAACAAGCTTTATGCACCAAAAATATATTTATAATTGAATCACAATACGATAGGTCGGCTTAAGCCTGGCACGTGGCAGCTTACACAAAGCACAAAGGGTCTACACAAGACAATCGAAGGACACACCTTCACTGTTGCACGCCAGGAACCAGAATGAATGGTTTCCGGTTCCCCACTATATATAACTCCTCCACCACTCTCACCGTGCTGCCACACAAAAACCACCCAAAACACAAATAAAACTGCGCGTACAGCAATCGCGACGATCGATTACATTATTTACATTGACAAAATATATATATATATATACAAAGATGATTATCGGTAAAAGAAANCTACGTTTGTCTGTCTTAAAGTAACTGTTGTCAGTTAACAATCAGAATATTAAAAAGCAATTTTTTAACCTTTACAATAGTTCACATTATACACTGGCGGAAATTAAAAGTGTTACACCCAGATGGAATTGATAGAAATTCACGAAACTTGGTAAACATGTACAGGGGCATACCCAGAAGAAATGAACACAAAATGAAATGTACCAAACAGCGATAAAACGCAAAGTTTTATCACTGTTTGGTACATGTTTCTGTAAGAGGTATGGCCACCTTGAGCTTGGATACACTCTTGGATCCTTGCAGGCATTGAAACAATAAGTGCTTGAATGTCTTGTTGGGGTATATCTCTCCATGCCTGCACAACTTGTGCAATCAGTTGTTGTACAAAAAATATTTTTTAGTAATAGTAAATTTAACAACTTTAAAGAATATTAAAAAAAAAAACAAAACATAAAAAATAAAATTAAAGAAATTTCATGTTATTTTAAATGCTTTGTTAATACAATAGCTCCTTGCCAATTTCAACCTGCAGTTTGTGAATTTGCACATTTGTAGCTGAGTTTTGTATACTTGTTTTATCAATTTCTTATCAATTTTATGGATTTCAAATTAATCCAACAGTTTCTGTGCAGAATGGCTCATATGCTATTATGTTTGGGTTAAATAATAAACTATAAAAATTATGGTTTACAAATGGAAACTCAGCATAACTTCTTTTAATAAAATTAGAAAACATAGGAAATGAAAATAAATTATATATCTAATGTTTATTTTATTCCATTTATTAAAATGAAAAATATATCCATATCTAAAAACACTTCATTATTAACAATATTCAGCTAGTAAAATATCTTTTATTTTTGAATATTATATTATATGAACTACATAATCTATTGACAATTAATTTGCATAGGAAATTTATTCTGCATTAATTTTCTTTGCTATTTAGTTATTTATTTTATCTGTTTGTAATTAAATAAAAGGAGATAAATCCTTTTTAGTAATCATTAATGGATTAAGTTTTATCATTGTCATCATGAACTCTTTTGACAGCTATGGGTTGGAATCCTCCAAATTTGTAGAGAATTTTCCAGACATCTCTCTTTCTCTGGCATAATTTCCTCACTCTTCTTTCATCTGTTATGTCATGAAATATTACAATGGAGAGTATTTGATAAGGCAATCTTTTTATGTGGCTATATTATTGAAACTGTCTAATGTAGATTTTGTTGATTTTAGTTTTCTAACTTTTTTATTTGTCTTCAGGTATGTTCATTTGATACAATTCTTTTTCTTAGGCATTTCAATTTGGAGTGCCTAAGAAAAACAAATCATATCAAATAAACAGACAGTTTCGGGACCTCCTGAATTAGGTTTGGAGAATGTTAATTGTCAGTGGGATTTTGTTAATTGGTTGCTTATCCAATATGCTATTTTTTTAATACAAAAATAAAAACTTTCCTATATTTGTTGTTTGTTGGACCATTGCAATCGAAATACTTATAGATTCAAAAAAATTATCTTATTATATAATTAAATAGTTTAAACTAACCATATGAACATCTTACAAAATTTGAGCAAATTATAAAAACAATTATTTAATAAAAAATTATTTCAAATTTTTTTTAGACATTAACTAACTTATCATTCCATTTTCCATTCCATTCTACTTCATTCCCCCATGGATTTCTTATTCTTAATAAATTCTCTTGTTCTCCACTTATCAAGGTCACCTATGCAATTAAAATACTTAAAAATAAGTTTAAAATTTATCAAAACATTCAACTTTTACTAAAACTGTTAGAGATTTTAACAATTGTTTTTCAATAAAATTACTGTGGAATTCACCAAAATTATTAATTTAATAATACTGTATTAAAAATTAATTATATTTGGATTCAGTTAACAACTTAATGACCTTTTTCCTTTCTGATGTTTTGATTTCCAATTTTATCACAAAATTATAATATATAAAAAAACCAAAAGTTTTATTAATATATTTGCATTACACTAATATTAATTATTACACTAATAATAAACTTAAAAAATATGTAAATGTGTAATATTCTGAAATAATTTATAGCATAAAATAGCAAATTAAAACAATTTGGCAGAGTTTTTTGCAAACAATTTTTCTGAGAATAGACCAGAGTTTCATCAATCAAATCAATATCTATTGATTTTACAAAAATATAAACGTTACACTAGAATACTTGTTATCGTTATTCAATCCTATTCAACCATTTAGTTGTGTCCAACCTTTGTCAACTTTGTAGGTAAGAGATCTCCATACTTTTCTGTTATTGACAAACTCCTTCAGTTGCTCAATGCTCATATTTGTGTCTTCTTTGACAGTGTCTATCCAACAAGTTCTCTGTCTATCTATCCTCCAGGTTCCACCGACCATGCCAAGCATGACTGCCTTTTGCAAGGAATTTGCATGCATGACATGTCCAAAGTAGGACAATCTTAAATGAGTGATTTTTGCTTCTAGTGACATATCTGGCTTCATGCACTTTATCACATCTTTATTTGTCACCTTGGCAGTCCACAGAATGTGCAGGAGTCTACGCAAGCACCACAATTCAAATGAGTCAATTCTCCTTTTGTCATTCTTTCTCATGGTCCAGTTCTTGCATCCATAAGTCACAATATCACTATAGGAAAGACAATGACATTTACTACACTGGCAGAAATTGAGAGTGTTACACCCAGATGGAATTGATAGAAATTCATGAAACTTGGTAAACATGTACAAGGGCATACCCAGAAGAAATGAACACAAAATTAAATAAATTACGCAAAGTTTTATTGCTGTTTGGTACATGTTTTTGTAAGAGGTATGGCCACCTTGAGCATGGATACACTTTTGGATCCTTGCAGGCATTGAAACAATAAGTGCTTGAATGTCTTGTTGGGGTATATCTCTCCATGCCTGCACAACTTGTGCAATCAGTTGTTGTACAGCGCACGCTGGATGGCTATAAGACGTAATCCGTCTACCCATGGCATCCCAGACATGCTCTATAGTGGATAAATCTGGAGACTGGTCATCCTTCTGCATGGACCTGTGCCAGATCTGCGAGTACTGGACCCTTCCTGCATCCACCGTGTGACCACTCTTTGTACTGGCATTGCACTACGACCAGTCCTTCAGGCAATTTCACGATATGATGCTCCCATTTCTGACATGCCAATTATCTGACCTCTTTCAAAGTCAGACATTTGGGTGTACGGAGTTCTCACTTGTCAATATGGCATAGCTGGTCACCAACAACATGTGGACCAAAAAAAGTCATGTTCCATAACACAGTTCACAAATTATAAACTAAACACTATAGCAATTTTGTATAACAAATGTCTCCATAATTTCCATACCACTGTATGTACTTCATTTAATTTTTGATCATTCAATACCCTTCAAAAAGAGATTCTTTTGTCCCAATTTTATATGTATTCGACAATACTGAGTGGGTGTAACACTTTCAATTTCCGCCAGTGTATTTTAGTTTTGGTGGTCAGACTAATATCTCTGCTCCTCCATAATAAGGTGTGCAGTTATGGTGGCAGTTATGCCTTGCCACCATAACTGCACACCTTATTGCTATCCGACATTTAATCTCATGTGTGGAACCTCTATTTCTCTTTATTTTAGTGCTGAGAAATATGAAGTCTTGAATAGTTTTGAGTACTTTATTGTTGATTTTGATGTCAACCTTCCCATGGGGAGCTTTATAATCTTAATTTTTGTGACATTGAGATGCAGCCCTGCTTTTTTACTTTCCTCTTTCATCCTGATAATCAGATACTCGAGGTCTCAGTCAATAGTGTTGTGTCATCTACATATCTCAAATTGTTAATAGTATGACCACCTACTTTCATTCTAATGCCAGCTGCATCCAAATCAAGTTTCCACAATCATCTTGGCATATAAGTTAAACAGGAAGATGACAGAGTAAAGCACTGCCTTACTCCTTTTCCAATCTGGAACCAATCCATGTGCATACTGTTGCTTCTTGATTGTTATATAATGATTTAAAAAATGAAATTAAATAATCTGGAGCACCAAAATCATACAGAGCAGTATCTTTGTTACTATTATTCAAAAATAACTTAAATATAAATACCAACATTAACAGGAGCAAAAGAAACAAAAATATTAATTAAATGCATTTAATTAAATAAAACAAAAATAGTAAGTGTTTTCTAAATTATTTCTAACAAATTTCATTTTCAAAATATTTAATCTTTGAAACAAACTCAAATTATAAATATTTATTTAATAATATTTTGAACTTCTAATCAAAATAGGGCATTGGCTAACAAATAACTAAGAATAAAGTTTATGGAAGAAGTGTAATAGATATTGGGGAAATGAACAAGTTTTGAAGACAAGAAAATACAATTGAGAGTATCACAATTAACAAATAAAAAATATAATAAAATCCTCAATTTCCTTCATTAATGACATTCCTAAAGTCCAAAATAAACAAAGTCCTGACACAGTGGCACCAAAATGGAACCATGTATTTGATTTTTGTATTCTTAAAAAATATTTAAATTAAAATTATCGTAGAAACAATTAATTTCTTATGTGGTGTATCCCACCATGTATATGTATGTTTTAGTCGATAATATCCTATGTTATCTATAATTTCCTCTTCTACTTAAATAACCCACACTATTTTTCTTCTTTTGACTTTTCCGACCTATTTGCACTTTCTGGCTAGTTTTGGGCTGAAAAGGGGCAACAACCAAGAAGGCAACGTAGGAGGACTTTACTTTCATTATTCATTCTGGGAGAAACAAGCGAGGGGAGAACCACATGAGGAAGACGAGGGAATGAATCCATGCGGTCAGGGAGTGTACATCGGAAGATTGCTCAAATTGTCGCACAGATAAGGGGGACTTCTTTCTAATCTAACCTTTCTATACTTTTTTTCTCTACCTAGATTATATTAGTTTATATTTTAAGTTAAGTTAGTCATAAGTAGTAGTATAATATGGTCACAATGGATTGTGTACTGGTTGGCTTCGGGACCCACACATGTAACCAGATATACAAGCTTTGTTCACGAGAGAGGAAAAGAGAAACGGTTTAGTATCATGTACGGGCTCGAGATCATGTATTAAAATTAATTTGGAGATAAACTGTAAATAAATGATTTCCTCTATCTTTTGTTGAAATTTGTGTTAATACGTGGTGTATTCTTGTATAATATGGTTTTTCATTAACCCATCACACCACACTTATATCAGCAGATTAAATTTTGAAAATTCTATAAATGTAAAATATAACATCCAGTTCTAGTAGATTATTTCTGTAATATCAACCAAACTAAAATGTTATATGTAAAATATGTAAATAACTTACATTTGCTACTGCAGTTACAGTATAAGCATGTCCTGCAACTAATCCATTGTTATCTGCAACATTAGCTGTCCGCCAGTCACCCTGAGTAAAAAGAATTATTATTTGTCTTTATTTGATATTTATTTGATACTGCAATAATTTTATAAACTGAATATATAATATATATATATAAATCATTTTTTCAGATAAGTGTAGGATTAATTTCTGTTATTGAGATTTTGTAAATGTAAAGATTTTTACATCTGTATGTAGAAAATAACAAAACAAAAACATCTGCAAATCATTTTGATATGAAATATCAAAAATCAATTTCTTGTAATTATATACTGGCAATTTCTAATACAACATACAGTCGACCCCCCTATAAGATAGAGATACGTTCCATTCTCTAGGAATCCGCTTTCTTACGAATCCTTCCAATCACAACCCGACACGTGTCAAGTTTACGGACTACGGCTGTTTGAAAGATTTTCTTCCATAAAATTAATCGATTCTAGACTAATCCGACTCAACATTTCCAAAATACGTATATATTTTTTGGGAATAATCCGTATAAACTACGCTATAAACAAAAAATTGTAGGATTACTTACCGAGTGTCACCATTCGACATTGCCATTGCTCAACATTGTTTTCGTCGCGGAACAGCTCAGCAAAGAGCGGCCGATTTCTAACAACTTATTTTTCTGTGAAAACTTCGTAGAACTTCGGAGACATCATTAATATAAATAATTTTAATCGCCGTTGAATAAGAAATGTTTCTTTCACAAGAAATGTATAAAATTACAGTACTGTATTAGACTTACGGTACCTAATTTACATACTGACAGACGATAGTTAGCGTAAAAATCTCCGTAGCGTGGCGCCACGCTAGACGGCGGAAATTATATATTTAATTATAACAAAGTTACAATAAGTTAATATATAATTATATATACAGTACCTAATTTATATATAATTAATATATAATTATATGTACAGTACCTAATTTATATATAATTTATATAATACTGTCCAGACGATAGAAATCTCTCCGTAGCGTGGCGCTACGGACGGCGGGAAAGTAGTTCGGCTTCCCGATGACGTTTGAGGTGTTTATAGGGAACTTTTACTATTTTTTACGGATACCGGTAGCAATTTTTTCGTAGTTTTATAGGAATCGTAACTATAGGGACCGTAATTATAGGGGGGTCGACTGTAACAAATAATTTCAAATAAATATTTTTATAATTAACAATTAACAAAGCATTAAATATTAAATATTTATCTGTTTACATATTAGTAACACATGATAATATCAATCAGTATAATTCCAAAATAGGCTTTCATTTCAAGTAATTCATTTATTAGATTTTAAGTGAAGTTAACAATTACTTAGCATAAATATATACATTTTTCATAAAATCCAATGAGGATCCTAATGCCCATCTTGGATATTATATTTTTATTTAATAATTTTTAACTAAACAAATTTATCTAAATACATAAAAACACATTATTATACCATACTTAATTCATATATTTTCAAAAACTGCAATACAATCAGTGGCAGATAGACTTAGGCTTAGGGGCACAGAGCAAAGGAAAAAATAAAACAAGAAAACAAATGTTTTCATTGATACATTCTTGCAATTACATTTTTATTTAATTTATTTAAAGTAACTTAATGTTGCTTTATTCTATTCAACAAAGGAAGAGACTTCCATATATCTAAGGTGACCAGGTTTTAACACTGGTGAAGTGGGACAAAATTGACGGGGGAGAAAAAATTGTTCTAGAGCAACAAAATTTTAATATCAAATTGTATTGTATTATATTTTTTAAATTTTAACATTTGTAAAATTTACAAATATAAAAAATCTTTAAAAACACTATTCTTTTGCATATTTCTCATTTGAATGAATTTTTTTTTAGTAGATTGATGTCGTTTAAAATGTCATGAAATTTTTTTGCAAGAATTTGTTAAATTATATTTCACACATAATATGGCTTTCAAAATCTCAACACTTAATTGTGATTTATCAGATGTCCACACTTTATTTATGGTAGAAAAAAACATGTTCAGTCAAGGCATTAGTTCCTGGTAAGGACAGCACATATTCCACAATTTTTAATGCATTGTTGCAATGTTTTTCAACCGGGGTGCCACAGTGCCATGATTGGGGTATCGTAAAGTTTAGGGCCTTTAGGCATTTTCTTGGAAATTTACTTAAGTGTAGTTCAAGTTAACTCATTGTCAGTTCTATTTTGCTATGAGATATCTAGTAAGCAAAGAAACGATGACTAATTGCATGTTAATGTAATGTTCTACTCTACGTGTATGCACGACTTGTCACGAGTTTGCCCAAACTACATTGCTTGGCCTTCACATTTCCAGTTCCAGTACTAGGCCAACCAGCAGAGAAGAATGACGTGGACACTTGTATCTTGTATATACTTTAAAAAGCGTTGCATTGTGCTTTGAAAAACGTGTGGTTTCAATCACAATGTAGGTGCATATTACAGTATTTTCATAGTATTCAAAAGCAATGATGATAAATAAACAATTTTTTATCATTTTTTTAATTTAAATTTTTTTAATTGATATGAAAAAGATAAGAAAAAAGTAATGAAATATTTATTTTATGTATGCATCAAAATAGTATAAAAAAACTTAACAAAAATTGTTTATCAATAAAATGATAACATAAAATGATGATAAAACTAGATTTAAAAAACAACAGCAAGACTATTATTTTACATGTAGGTATTTCAACAATATTCAATGGACTTAAAGTTTGATTTTGAACACATAGAAATGCTTTTTTTTGCATTAAAATGCCACTTTAAACTGTCAATTTTTAAAATTTTTCTTCCCTGGGAGGGGACGCCCTCCCTAGACCCTACCCCAGCATTGCACGTATTAGTTTTTGCAAAAAATTCATCTGGCCCATTAGTTCCCCCTTATTCAGATTCTAGATCCGCCACTGGTCAAGGGTGTCACAATTTTTTATTTTTCAATCAGGGCTGCCACTCAATGAAAAAAGTTGAAAAACACTGCATTGTTGTATGGAACATAGTTTGTTTCAAAATGATGAAATATTTCTAACCATTTGTTCTCTGTTGAGATTTTTGCTGATGCCCAAGATTTAACCTTTTCCTTATCAATATATTTTTTAAATAATGATACTTCATTAAAAAGATCATTTTCGAAAATATTACTATCTGGAAAATATTGACTAATGTGATCAAATGACTTTTGCACATCTTCCCAATTAAGTTTTTGTTTTAATATAACCCAATGAAAATGTTCAATATCATTGCAATGTATAGTACCGTCCACTCTTCTAAATAATCTATTAATTCTAAATAATCTAAATAGTTACTATAGAACTTTTTGACATGATTCATGAAATCTGATCGATTTATTGCACCTTGTTCTTCTACTATTACAGATGATTAACTACTGTATATTNCACACACATTTAATTTTAGTTTTGTTTTGGTTGGTAAGCCTTGACTCTGGTCTGGCATAGTACACAGCCACCGGTGTGTACTGAGTATAACCCACTAAACCCAACACAATAATAATAATAATAATAATTTGTATTACTTTTCCTCTGAATTTGCCTTGAGTGTCATTGTAATTTTTTATTATATAGTACTGTCATAACCAAAATAAACCCCAGCCCAACCACTAGCAATAGAACAATGCAAACTGATGTGCTTACTCTCGCTAGTCACTAGCTTTCTAAGGCGGCAACAGACGAGAGCTCTGCGCCATGTAACATGCAACGAACAAAACGTTTGCTCGTTTGGACAGCCTGTGAACATGTGCTGCTCAGTTGCGGCAACTGTGCACCCCAAACCATTTTCTGTCGGTCTTTGCCACGAACACAAAGGGTTTTGTCTTTATTTCCAATGCTCAGGCATACCTTGGCACTGATACATGTGATACAAAATGATCTTTATGAAATCTTAAACATAAAACATAAGTTTATGACACAGTTGACAAAAACTTAATTTTTCCAAAACTCAGGACTTTTCTAAACCGCTGCTGGACATGGGACAAATTGTTAAAAATTGTGACTATCCTGCCAAAAGCAGGACGTCTGGTCACTTTACACATATCCCATTTTGTGTGTGTGTGAGGTCCTGGATGGAAATTGAAATTTTATGTTTTCAATGACCAATCTGGTAGGACAGTTAAGCTCTCCTTCTTTTGAAATTAAAACAAAGCAAGACTTAAAGTTTAGCTTAAACAATAAAAGTTCTTTTCATCAAAACAGAAAACAAAAGGCTAGAATTGCAGGGAGAATATGAAAGTTTCAAGGAATTTTAGACTATCGGGATCTGATTAAGTGTCAATAACAACCTCTCCCATGTCCCAAAAGTTTCATATTGTCACTGGGAGACAAGGGAAGGCCAATCAGAATGTGGAATAGAGGAGAAAATCCTATAAAAATGCATGTTTCAAGGACATGAAATTCTTTGCTCCAAAAATTAGTTTTTCCTCCAAAGATCCACTGTTTATCTCTCACTGTTGTTTTATCTCTTAGATTCGTTTGTTCTCCCAGAGTTGTTATCTCTCCAAGGTTCATTCTTTCTCCAAGAACTGTTATATCCAAAGCTTAATAGCAAGCCCTGGGGCTTGAGAGATCTTGCAGACCATCACTGAAGGACTACGTGATGGGACATTCAAACCTTTACTGGACTATCTTCTTGAGAATTGTAGTGACAAGGATATAGAAACTTTTGTAAGAAAAATTCCAATATTTTATTAAATGGGAAAAAGTGAATGGTAAGACTGTCTCAGTGTGTATTTCATGCCCATGCACAATTATCACAACCCCTTGACAGTCCCAACAATTGCACAAAGTCACAAACATTGCATATATATCTACTATATCTACTGTACGTAGTACTTCAATAATTCAATTATTTAATTGATTTCCTATTTTTCTACTATTACTGCTTTTCCATTTCTTTTTAAATAAATATATGAATTATATTAGTGATCTAATTATAGTAATGGTAAAATGTTCATTGTAATGTTACTCATTCAGAATGTTTTGAATTTACACTTTATTATTTGAGAAGACC